TTTGCAAAATGTCTTTAAAAGAAATATGATAAGTTCAGAGAAATAGATATTCTAACACGATCCCAAAAAGCCAAGCAGTGAAAGTTGGGATGTCATACTAAGAAACCAAGTGATTTAAGTTGTTACAAATGCTAACATTTAAAATTAAAATAACATTAAAGTCTCTACTAACTAATTAAAATATACAGAAAAATAAATGTCTTCATACAAAAAATTTTGACAGCCCAGATTTTCAATCAGTTTCCTGATAAGAAACTGAAACTTCTGCAGCCAAAGTGAAGTGAAAAGGTAACTTTGACTAAAAGACAGCACTCCTCATTAGTGGTACTGTACACAGGAAAAATGCATTTTATATATGATAGTGTAAGGGTGATGTAGTTGTGATGGTCCAGATTAGACCTGACAAAGAACGACTTCCATTCAAAAGCCTGTTTGACTCTATCCCAACTAGTTGGTCCAGTCAAAGACCTCACCCTAGGAAATCTTTGCCTCTTTTTATATATGGAACACTCAACTGTGTGAGGTATAAACAAAACCCTGCAATTTTCCCTTAGAAAGCATGTCTGATAGAGCAGCCTCGGACCATCCTTGATACATTTTTTATTTTCACTAAGAAACGAAAGAGCCCTATAGCAAATGAGCCAGATATGTATGCTGTGTCTGTCTTGCACAACTGCTACCCTTCCTCGATAAAACAATACCTTTCACTTTTCATGTGTAAAGCTGCCATTAACTTTTACCAAGTGATTATCACATTTAAAATAAACATAGCAGTGTAAAGCAACACTGTAAGGTGCATGTTATGCTGAGTACCTCAATTAAGAAGAGGATACTTGAGCACTGGGCTATTAGAGGCTAAATGCGCAACTAGGATTTTATCAAAGGCCATTAGAGACATTAACTAGCAGAAAAAGCCAACTATAAGCCTTCGCTAGATTCTTGCTCACTGTCATACTGTTATTTCTAGCCTAGAGGAACTATGACACAACCAAAATTACCTTGAGCGACTAAGCATATCCTTTAAGCCAGCAGGGAAGGAGCTGAACTGTTATAGACACATGGCAAATAAAGGAGGAGCACAATGCAGGATGCTTTTGCACTGCAATTACAAACCATGTTATGAATGCGACTGTATATAGGCGTCGTCCGATGTATTAGTACTGCAGAACACAGAAGGGGCCCAAACGATGTTCTCACAAGAAGACTGGATGCCAGTTTTCCCAGGGCATTTAAGGGGTTGGACAGAATGCCCAGAAGGCTAATTTCTGTGATGAAAGATACAGCTGTCATGCGAGGAAGGCACTCATTGCCCGTAACCTGCACCTTGGAAGGTCTCTGGCCCAAGCCTGGGAAAGGTCATGAACAGAAGCAGGAAATGAGAACTGAAGCGACCTGTGAAAAACTGGCAAGTACTTGACTAAATAAGAGCTACTGCTTCCTGTGAGATCTGCAGCTAATTAGAGCACGTCAAAAATTTCCTCTACACAGTTTAGCAAATCCAGCTCCACATTCGGTTTGGCTGTGGACCTTGACAAGTACTGCAGGTGCTCTCAGCTATTTTATGGGATGCCCTGTATGAGACGTGCCAAACCACAAGGGGAATTATAGACAGAGCTCTCACAGTGACTACATCCCCAGGTGGGTCTGATAGCTTCTATCTGTGCTCAAGATATTCATCCAGCTGGGCACTAAAACAGGCAGGAAGCCTGAAGCTTAAACTAACATGCTGTACAGTGCCAGGACTTTTTGTGCCTATCACTTGTAGCCCTGTACTTGTTCGAGCAAAGCTGGGCATGAGGCTACATTACTGATTGGATGGATGGCCGTTATAGCAACACCACAACAGCAGCATGCCCTGAGCAAGCTATTCAATCATTTAAACCAAAATCTGGAAATTAAAGTTTTGTTTTGGGGGTTTGTTTTTGTTTTGTTGAACAATACAAAATAAAAATGAATTAGCAATGCTCTCTCAGTGAGGATTATCATTCTAGGAAAGGAAATAACATCAAAAGAAAGGAACTGCTAAGAAACAGAAGTGCCTGTTGTCACACAAATGTTCCCAAGAACATGAACCCACAGGGTATAGATGGACATAACACTTAGACTGTTTCAAGAACATCATCAACTGGGACCTTGCTCACAACTGTCTGTGGATGGAAGCGTCCACGTGTACCCTGCTAAGAGTTTTAAGTAGAATCGTCACCTTCTGGCAGCAGTGCAAACCCTAAAACACCACCAGGGGATGGTAGAGTACACAAACCATTATGCCTTCCAAGGGTCTGTGTCCTGAGTTTCCCCAGACTTCCCCTAGAACAGAGGTCTCCAAACTTTTTTGATTGCGCACCCCTATCAGTAAAAAAATTTTGAGCACGCACCCGCAATATATGTATATTTATATAAATATAAATATAAATAGAAGTTCTAATATTTTCTTCCTGCACCCCAATGGATCATCTTGTGCACCCCCTGGGGTGCACACACCCCACTTTGGAGACCACTGCCCTAGAGAGGAAAGACCACCCAGACTAGGACGACAGGTTGGAGTGGTGGGGTGCCAGGTGCTGTGTGCACCCCTGGAAGGGGCTGGGTGCTCCAAGCCCCATCCCCCCAAGAACACCCCAGCTTTCTCAATCTGGAAAGCAACCTTGACAATTTCACTTCCTTCCTACTTATCCTGTGTTGTAGGGTCCCAGACTTGATTCGAGGGTTAGAAGTGTATGTGTGTGGGTGGGGAAATCTCCAGGTGCTTCTTGTCCCCTGCTTCCAAGTTGCCACAACTGCTCTCTACCCAACCCATAGCCTATGCCTCAGCTTCCCTATGCACCTCACTTGCACAGCCCATGCCTGTATTTGCTTGCATACTACCTAACTCTGTGTGGTACCCAGCCAGGGGGTGACCAAGTATGGAGGGGTTGGGGCCCCCACTTCTTGATTCAAGGGGCTGGTTGCTTTCAGACTTCCCAAAATGTCTGCCTCAGTCTTTCCCTAGAAAGCTGCTCAAGTCCCTTGCATTGCCAGCAACTGCATAGAGCTGCGTGTGTAGGATGGAACCTGCAAGGCAGGGCTGGCTGCAGGAGTGCAACACAGAGGTTGAGTTGGTCTAATAAAAGAGACCATATCACACCTACCCAAAGAACCCTGTCTGCACAAAGGCTGAGGAACAATTAACAGTTAATGGTCTAATTCAGAGGTTCTCAAACTACGGTCCACCGACCACCACTGGTCTGTGAGCTCCATTCAGGTGGTCCACAGAAAGGTTGCAGAACAAGAGAGAATATCTGTACTTGTAAAGTAAGGCTACTGATATTAAAATATGAGTTGTATGCTTTGATTTGTAGAACAAAAAAAAAAGGTTATTAAGTGGTCTGCCGAGACCCTCAGCAATTTTCAAGTGGTCCGCAAAAAAAGACAGTTTGAGAATCACTGATCAACCACGGACTGGACAACCATTCTGTTCTAGTAAGTGCCCGTTGTGCAATGGTGTTTCCCACCACCCAGCAATTAACAGGCGTTTACTGTTAGGAGCACACAACCCAATCACCACAAGCAAGGGGGCCACACAGGCCCTGCAGCACTTGGCTACCCCCCTCTCACCCCAAATGAGCTTGGGACCCTAGCTCAGGGTCCCTAGCAGGGAAGAGAAACTGCAACACAGGCTATCTGCTTCCCCACCCTTGCAGACTGCTGGTCTCTGTAGGCAAAAGAAATTTATCTTTGGGCAGTAGAGTCCTGGCTACATCCCAGAAGCCCAGCAGCCCTGCAGGCATTTTGCAAGGTGGGGAAAAGCAGGGTGATGAGAAGCAGTGCAGTCTGGAATGCCTGGAGGCCTGACCAGACACTAGGCACAGAATGCTCTATGGTCACACATTACATTGACCAAGTTCAAGGAGGATCAGCTCAAAATAGAACTTGATTTTCCTGGTGTGCTTCTGAAACATTCCAGGAAGTTTAAACTGGTCCTAAGTGGCATGCACATCTAGACTCTTGGGGCTTAAAGCTTTTTCCGAATGTTCTATGCCAGGGTACGTCATGTCATCTGGGGCTTCCCACAGGTCAGGGAATTTGGTGGTAGGAGAATGGTGGCACCACTCCCCTGCTGCCAAATCTCTGTGCCCATGGGGAGCAATGCATAGGGCAGAAGTCAGCAAAATGCAGCCCGGGGGCCAGATGTAGCCCGCCAGGCCTTCTATCCGGCCTGTGGGGCCCCTAAAAAATTTAGAAAATTAATATTTATCTGCCCTGGGCTGCCCGTCATGCAGCCCTCGATGGCTTGCCAAAACTCAGTAAGCGGCCCTCTGCCCAAAATAACTGCCTGCCCCGGCACAGGGCCAGGCAAGGGTGGCACCAGCCTGAAGGGTCCAATCTCAGTGTAGGGGACTGGGAGGGGGTGGTGCTGGCAAGTATGGAGCAAGGAGGGGACAGCTCCGGGCCCCACGGTCCAATCGAGCCTGCAGATGGACTCTGGGCCACTCATCTGGTCTGCCTTTCCAAAAGATTGAGACCACTATTTTAAGCATTACATCTGACTACACCCTAGGGAAGGTACAGATGTGATTTTTAAAAACTTCTGAGGGGCTAGTAAGTGAATTTCAGGAGATGTGTGTTCCTCTCAGACACACTCAAAGATGTCAGGCACAGGTTGTGTGTGTAAATGCGCATATTCATATTTTCTGTAATACATACTAGATGGGGCAGGGACCTGGTGGTCCCTGGAAGTGCAAGTTCAAACCCAGGCATAGGTCACAAGTAAAAGTTAGTGTGATGGTCTCATGGCAGTACCCACTTATCCACAAGACAGTTTGATGCAGCTAGAAATGTCTTCAGAGACCTATGGACAGAATAGCAAGGACTGCTGCAGGAAGATACAACAGTACTAATGTCTGGGGGGAATCATGCAGTATGATGGAATTCAACTATATTTTTTTTACAAGCACCAAACTCACAGTTTAGAAAAAATGGCAAAGAAAAACCATGCAAAACAGAAGCCAGGCAGGCCTTACCTGAGCTGAGTATTATGTTTTGTGCTGCATCCGTCAAACTATGTTGTTTTCTTCCCGTTGGGTCTTGGCTGGCAGAAAAGCATTACTAGTTCCAAAACATCTGCCTACATGACAACCCCAGATAATCGTCCCTCCTCTGCTGTCATGTCCAGGCAATGCAAGTCCTATTCACTCCGTCTGACTCGCACACTCCCAAATCAATACGCCAGCATCTTCTCTGCTGCTCTTCATCAATGCAAGCGTTCACCACACCAAGCAGAGGGAAATGCAGTCAGGGAACTGTCAGTGTACAGCTTTCCTCTTACCAGGCTCACTGGAAAAAACAGTGAAGATAAGAAGAGGTTGTTTAGGTTTCTGTTTCTTGCACCAGGGATGCATCTTCTTCACAAACCCAGGATCTATTTGAAAACAAAGGGCTAAACATAGTCTCTCCTATATGATCATCAGAACAAACATACTCAGGCACCTCTACCACTTTAGACAGCATTTCAAAGGCAGAAGCCACTCAGGAGGGAAAGAAGCATCTTTGTGGAGCAGGACACTATAAAGAATAAATGGTGCAGATACGGAACAAGTGAGAGCAAAGGCTGAGCTGTCAACGAAACTTTTCCAAGCAGCATGATCTGAGAGACACTGGAGCGATCTCCCAAGGGAAATGGGGTGAGGAGCTCCATGGCTTGAGTCACTATGGAGTGGGTGGAACTGGGAAAGGGAACACATCCTAAAGGAACAATCCTGAGCTTCCTGGGGTGTGTGGAGGGAAGGCGAAATTATGTACCTCCCTGAGTCTTCTCTTTCTCCATTGTCTTCTCTTTCTCCAATGAATCTTTGCTGATGTAAGGGAAACCCATTTATGTCTAAGTGGCCAAACAGCTGAACAACAATGCTGTCAGTCAGCCAGGACTTTTGCAGAGCAGTGAACAGAGACTATGAGAGTATGGTCTGCCCCCCTGATATGTAGCCAGCTGGCTGCCCTCGATTCACATAAACTATTTATAAAAAAAACAAAAACCCTGCACTGCATTGTGCATGAAGGCTTGTGGTTAAAATGCTAATATTAATGAGGCCTTTGGTATTTCAAAACCATTTCCTCTCTTTGTTCTCTTTTGATATAATTTTATTCTCCATGATCACTTTTGGAGGAGAGCCTCCAAGTTCAACTTTTGCTTCCTAACTTTCTGATTTGGGGGGCCAGCCCTTATCGGCCCTTCAGAGCTCATTTATATTGAGACAGAGAAGAGCTTGGTAGAACCACAGTTTGTTCAGGACAGGAATGCAATTTTGGGATCATGTGACCAGACACCCTGGGCACACTCAAAGCAGCCACTGTGCCGATAGCACCCATGATGTCATGTGTCTGCCATCTGTTTGTCCAGAGAAGTTCAGTTCAGACAGTATCTGGTTTTATAGTGGGGTCTTGTGTTTTAGACCATTTACTGGTTTGGTTGACTGATTCACTTCGGTCAAGGGCATTCTCTGAAGATCTCAAAGCCAGTAAGCCTATAAGGACTGCAGATATGTTCTGTTACCTGCAATTTTCCAGTGTTCAGGCAGGAGAGCAGAAGATGCTCCTAAAGCATTTGCTCTAAATCATTGCTCCACACACTTAACCACTGAACAGTGCCAACTAACTCAGCTGGATCCTAACAGCCACTACCTGATATATTATAAGCAGGGATTCTGGTTTTCTCGGATTCAAAAAACAAAAATCCCAATTTTCAGTTAAAAAAAGTAACCCTAAATCCATGTTCTTCCATGATTAAAATGAAACACTGCTAATATATGTGATGGCTTTATTCTACTTCATTAAATTACTAAAATGA